GCATTGTCGGATATTGAGCCGACTCGAGCAGCCATCATTGCATAGATGGCATGCGAGGGCAGCCCGAGCGGCCCTTGGGAGTTGATTGCAGAGCTAGCCTCTATTGTCGGGAATTTCGGGGCGGATCGCAATGGAACGAATTGGGAGAGGTGCTTCAGGAGTAGCAACGGGCCGAGGGAGTTAACTTTGAAGCTCTCCAGCGCATTGGCAGCATCGATTTGGCTGGGCGACTTTTCGGCATGTAAAATGCCGGGGATTGTCAATCCGAGCCTGAGTGGTGTGTTCGGGTATTTCTGGCGGATTGTGTCTGCCATTGCTGATATCGTAGACTCATCTAGGAAGTCGGTTAGCGTTGTGATGCCGAGAAGAATTTATTTTCCAAGAATTGAGTTGCTTTTTCTTACCTGTTACATCAACTCGGAGAATACGGAGCCTCTGATCCGCGTCTTTTGGCATACCCTTGCTTGCCAGCAGTCGTTCTTTGAGTTCATCGCAGTTCTTGCGGGCTGTTGCGATCACCGGGAGCTCTGTCCGTGTCAGGAGCTGCTGTGCGAAGGCGAACCCCAATCCTCGCGAGGCAGGGGTTACTAGGGCGAATCCATGAGCTGCCGATAGCATGACTTATTTGCTGAACTAGTTTTGCTGATGGTATATGTTTTTCAAGCGGTGAGGGATAGTGGAATCAATAATAGCAAGGAGTTGCTAGTTAATGTTCCGCGTATATGTGACGTCACAAAGCACAGGTCATCGATTTAAGCTTCGATCTGATCTACATCGTGAGGCTACAATGGGTCTAATTTAAAACAATAGTCGACATGTGTATACTCAGTATTTATGACTTGTTTTAGATTCACTGTTTATCTCCCAACACCCTCAAACATAACCAATCTATCTCAGTTCTTTCCCTCCAGACCAACAAAGCACTCTCTGCCAAACTCGTTGCTGCTATCATTGAAACGGAATTTCCTGTTGAGTTTCTCAATCTTCTTCATGTCTTCTGGGCTCAGCTTGAAATCCCCTCCCAAATTGGCCCTGATCCTCACAGGTGTTTTAGACTTCGACAGCACCGCGTGCCCCTGCGTGACTGCCCAAGCTGTCAAACAACTGCAGTTAGTATCATACAGACTAAATCCATGCAGATTCCACTTACCAAGAGCAACCTGAGAGGGGGTTTTGTTGTACGGCTTGCCTATCTCCGCCAACACAGGCTCATCGAGCAGATGGGCGGGGCGCTTCCCAGCATAGAGAGAGTTCTGGTTTCCAAACGGCGAGTAGTGCATGACAAGTATACCCTGACTTCGATTCCATTCGGTGAAATCATGCTGCTGCAGCCACGGATGACATTCCATCTGGTGCACAGCGGGAACGACGGAAGAGTTCTTGATCAGGTGCTCCATCTCGGACTTGTTAAAGTTCGAGACGCCGATCGCCCTCGCCTTGCCGGTTTTCAGAAGCTGTTCCATTGCTTTGTACGTCTGCTTTTGTGTCAACGGTTAAATTCATAGATCAAGAGATGAGAGTGCTGCATACGTCGGCAATGTCGATATTCACCATGATCGGGTTCCCATCCTTTACCGGAAAGAGTTCCTCCCCTCGTTCCCAGGCCACAGGCCAGTGAATCAGGAACAGATCAACGTAGTCCATGTCTAGATCGTCTAGGGATTGCTGCATAGCCGATGCCACGTCGTCTGGGTGGTGCTTGTTGTTCCATAGCTTAGTTGTAATGAAGAGCTCTTCGCGTGGGACGCCACTTTTCTTGACGCCTTTGCCGACAGCCTTCTCAGTTCCGTAACTAGTATATAGTCAGTGCTGTACATTGAGTTTGCCACTCGTCTCATTCGGGAAAGCAAAGCTGCTCACACGCGTGCAGTGTCGATGTGACGGTATCCTGCCTTGATTGCTTCCGCTACGGCATCTTCCTGTGCATCCGCATCCTGCCAGGTGCCGAATCCAAGGGCTGGGACCTCGGCTCCGGTGTTCAACTTGAATTTTGTGGGCATCTTAGATTGATTGATTTCAATGATGATTCAACAGTTCATGTTCAGCTCTAATATAGAGCAACTCCAAAGCACATCCAAATCCTGACATGATTATCAAAGACACGTCAAGGTGACGAATTCATGTTTGTGCTTGTCCGGGGTGATGACATGAAAATGATGTCTTCGCAGTCTCAGAGTACCACTGACGAGCGGATGATACCTAGAATATCGCCCAAGGCGCGTTAGTGTTCATAGTCATATGGTTGCAACACCCTGCAAGTAGCAATATATTAGCGTTGACTATGCATATATTCATTAACGCCTTGCCCACGCTGATTTCTCTCCGACTCGTCACGAGCACGAACCTTGACGATGGATCAGTCTATGACCTTCTCCCACCCACAAAGCAACCACGCCGGCATCTTACGGCTTCTGACATCTCCGGCAGCCACTTAATTATCCAGAATTACAACCGCTAACGTCATCGTAAACAATACGGAGTACTTCTTCCCAAATCAATTCGGTCTCGGCACGCTCCTTTGCATCGGAGCCCTATGCGCCATATCCACCATATCCACCATCTCATGTTCAAGAATCCTCCTCATATCAATCCTCACGACGATCAAAATTACTTCCAGCTGAAAACGAATCCTTTCATCACCGACATCGTTCCTGGAAGAACCACCCCGCAGATCCCAAGCAAAGATGGAAAGTACGGCCCTGAGCCAGGGAAGGGCTCAGTGGTAGTGTTCCACCTTTGGATACAATACGACCACCGCCAATCTTCGCACCGCACATGCTCGAAACCTCGAACAAGTTTCTCGCCCTGCAACAGGATATATTCTGGAGGAAGGATGAGCTCGGCCTGCTGGCTGTTCAAATTGGCGAAGCAGGGAACGCAGTTCTAACAACACCAGACTTATAAAGTATCTCTCCAAAGAGGTGGAAAGTATTCATAAATTTGCCCACTCGCTACGTAAGGAGATTTGGGTGTACTATAACCGGCATAACCCTGGGCATGTGGATGTCTTTCATGAGACGTTGATTACGAAAGATAGTTTATGAGAGCATGTATGTAAATTGGAATCCAACTGCTCGGAAGAGGCGAGGTGAAGGGCAACAGTCACAAAGACAACACAGACGCCTAGTGCTGATACACCGGGTTTGGAGTCGTTCAAAGCAAGACTTGATAAAGAGGATTAGAACCCGAGGGAAAGTCCCTCCTACAACTCCAACAGCACCATTGGAATGACTTGGTAGAACAGAATAGTAATCATGCACTCAGAATAGGGTCAATGACAACAAGTTGCGCAGCTTCCGAAACACGAGTTACGTAGATCTGCGGACAGAGTAATGACCCTTATCCGCTCGGTGGCCCCTTTATGACCAGCCTCCACCTACCCATACCATTATTTCTTTGCTTTTCCATTTGTATCTCCGTTTGCAACCTCTGGTATGGGGATTGGCCCTCCTGGGGAGTTCTCCAGTCTCGCCGTCAAAACCTCGACGCCTGTTTCTGTGACAAGCATAGTATGTTCTATCAATTTTCAAGTTAGTATTTAGAATCTATCTGTAAAAGGTCTATGCGCACCAAATTGGGCTGACCGTTTGCCGTCCACCGTGGCGTTTGTCCAGTCATCTGGCCAAGTCATATCTCGGTTGATTCCCAGAGTTAGGATAGGTTCGATCGTGAATGTCATCCCGGGTTTGCATGTTCCCACGGCCTTATTCTTCGCGTAGTGGGGGATCCAAGGAGGAGGGTGGAATTCCGAGTTGATACCGTGGCCACCCCAAGTCTTTATAACGGCAAGGCCCCTAGAGGCTGCGTGTTTTTCAATGATCTTGCCGAACTCTCGAATCGGTACACCTGGCTTAATTATCGCGATAGCCATATCCAAGGCCTCACGGGTCGTTTCAACGAGTCTGATCGATTCCGGATCCTTTTTATCACCAACATAGTAGGTCTCGTTCAAGTCGGCATGATATCCACCATGGTATAGAGAAACGTCGAGGTTAAGAATGTCGCCATTAAGAAGAACTCGGTGATCGGGGATGCCGTGGCATACAACTTCATTCGGAGATGTACATACCGACTTAGGAAAGTGGTTGTAGTTAAGTGGAGAAGGATATGACTGCCTTACGCTTTAGCGAACAATTTGATAAGTTCACATAGGAGTAAATATCACTCACCTCTCGCTCAACGCAAGCATTATGGCAAATTTCATCCAGGTAATCTGTGGTCACGCCGGGCTTTATCGCCGCAGCAGTTATATCGAGTACTTCTCGAGCTAACCTACACACCTTACGCATAGCGTCCTGGCCCTTTGCATCCAAGAGGTCCCATTTTGACCTACTCAGGCGCATCTCACGCTTTGGAATACCAGTCACGGCCCAGTCGGGATGCTTGATTGTTTTAGGGACTGGTCGTCGCGGGGAGAGTGGATATACGGGTCTGACAGAGCCAGTGTACGGGTATGTCGGAAAGGGGTCGTAAACTCCGCTAGCTATATCGCAATTAGAGAATACAGTCACGAGTAACTTGGAGGTAGTTACCATTTTGTATCTTATGCACCGCCTTGTGTGTGGTCTAGATACGGATCAATGTTAGGTTCTCGATAAGAAGAGGTCCGCGTGGACGTAACCTACCCAATTTCTCTTGAAGCAGTCTTGAGCGCAGAAGTAACTACCTTTGATGCCCAGCTTTAGACACGTTGGGCATTGCAAGGTCCCAGCTTCATTGTCGCAATCGGCCCCAGAGCACGTCTCATGATCGGACATTGTTGCGAAGTGAAATTCGAGCTTGAGTGGGCCGGAAGAGGAGATGAGAGGAGTTGTGTGGAAATGCAAGTTCTCACAAGTTACAGCTTTTTATGGTCCACTCCAGTCCGACCTCAACACGCTAGGTCGTACTCCGTATAGGAGTTTTAAACCGGCGTAGCTGGCAGATTTTTAAAAGGCGGTCAATTTAGGTACGTTCCTTGGACCGCCATACCAACAGTGTTTACCCCCGCTATAGACCCAATGGCACAGCTTATCGAGAACCTGAAACTCAGCGGTAAGAGTCCTAGAATCTGATGTTTGACATACACATTTAGCGACAGTATAAGCTAATAATACCTGCTTTTGACTCACAGATGCTGGTCCAAATGGAGTCGACATCCCCGTTCTCGCCCCCACAGTAAACGGAACTTCGAAAGAAACAGAGGATTCGGACGACGATGTCGCTGAAGATACCCCGGCAGTAGCTGTTGAGAACGGCGTTGCCAAAAAAAGAAAAACAGAAAGAAGAGGCCAAAGAAGAAGCAACAGAAGGTTCAGACGGATCCACCATCGATTCCCTTATCGCAGCTATTCCCGAACAACACCTACCCCAAGGGCGAGGAAGTTGAGTACAAGGACGACAATCGATGGCGAACTACCAATGAGGAGAAACGACACCTCGACAACCTCAATAGTGACTTCCTCTCTGATTACCGTCAGGCAGCTGAGGCACATCGTCAGGTCCGTCAGTGGGCACAGAGAAGCATCAAGCCAGGTCAAACGCTCCTCGAAATTGCCAACGGCATCGAGGATAGTGCGCGACGTCTGGTGGGTCATGATGGCTTGACCGAAGGTGACTCTTTGATAGCCGGCATGGGATTTCCCACCGGTTTGAACATCGACAACGTCGTCGCCCACTACAGCCCAAACGCCGGTTGCAAGACCGTGCTTACGCAGAGTAATGTACTGAAGGTCGATATCGGCATTCATATAGGCGGTCGGATTGTGGACAGCGCCTTCACGATGGCGTTCGATCCTATGTATGACAACCTACTCGCAGCCGTCAAGGATGCAACGAATACCGGCGTGCGCGAATCGGGCATTGACGTTCGGGTGGGAGAATTGGGCGGCTACATTCAGGAAGCGATGGAAAGCTACGAGTGTGAAATCAACGGCACCACCCACCCGATCAAGGCGGTTCGCAACTTGTGCGGCCACACAATCCTTCCGTATTCCATTCATGGCACCAAGACTGTCCCCTTTATCAAGTCGGATGATATGACGAAGATGGAAGAGGGGGACGTTTTTGCTATCGAAACCTTCGGCAGTACCGGCAGCGGCCGATACGTCGAAGGAGGCGAGGTCTCGCATTATGCCCTGCGCGGTAACGCGAACACAAAAGACTTGACTTTGTCTTCTGCTAGATCTGTCTTGGGAGCTATCAAGAAAAACTTCAGCACGATCCCTTTCTGCCGACGCTATTTGGACCGGATTGGGCAAGAGAAGTATCTCCTAGGTGTATGAACTTCCATTACGGATACGTGATTGGAAATCTTGACTAACAAGAATATAGCTGAATAATCTAGTGAAATCCGGAATTGTTGAAGATTATCCCCCTCTGAATGAGAAACAAGGGACCTATACGGCTCAGTTTGAACACGTAAGTCATTTGGCTCTCCAGGGCTCCAAGGCTTTCTTAAAGCAGAATAATCACTAATGAATATAAGACTATTCTACTCCGACCAAACGTCAAAGAGGTCATTAGTCGCGGAGACGACTTCTAAACATATTCGAGTTTATGGTTTTATGTCTCAGGGTGCATTCAAATGGTTATTGAAATAACTATCATGGTTAGTATATTGACCCCTTCTAGGCATGACGCATGCAAATAAAAACTCCCTTGATGTTTGTTTCCTCCGTGCTGGTCATCTTATAAATTACCACCTGTTTCCGGCGAAGGATCGATCTTCGGCTTCAGAAGATTTTGAGTTTCGGTGCTGATACTGCTTGGCAGCCGGTAATTTGCCTAAAATGAAATCAATTTAGATGGCTCTTATAGTCGCAGATCATGTGATCTCTGAATAGCTTCATGTTGACAGATCAGGTGATCGGGTGATCTCTACATAGTGTTACGGTACGGTTATAAGTCATGTGATGATTGTTAATTTACACGATAATTGCGGCCAGCGGTAGACTTACCTGAAGTAGTTTAGCGGGGAGTGTGAAGGAGTGTGTCCGTATACTAACTCCAGGGATAAGCTCAACACCTGAAGCCCAAGCTCTTCAGCTTCTTGCAGGCAGTTGGTATACTAGTCTATCGAGGCCAAATTAGCCTCAAAAGTCTCCATACTTGCATGTGGAAGAGTTATGGAAACATTGCCAAGCAGACCAAGCTGTTTGATGCCGAGACAAACAACGCTAAAGGTCACACGCGTCTACCGTAGCTTACCGCTTTAGTTTATATAGCGAGCTCCACCCGCAAATTTTTTTCTTTCCTTCTGCATCGCTTGGAATTCTCCAGCTCTCACTTCTTTTATTTTTTCCTTTTGTCGGCTTGGACTGTGTTTAATGACGGCACATACTCCAGCTATATTCAAGGCCTGCTAAGGCTGCGAATAATGCTCAGTTTCAATTTTTCCAAAAGGTAAGGAAAATATTCTTCTCTCCTTCTCAATCCCAAACCCCGGGGATGATTATATTATAGACATGCAAAGGCATTCCTCAATCAGAAGATCCATGTTGAATCTGTCATACTTTTAAGTTTCAGCCTTGTCTGACCCATCACAACATTATTACTTTTATAAGCCATTCATTGAGTGATTTTTGACTAACAATATCTCGCTCAGGTAAATCACACTCAGATTATGTCCCTTCCCTCCATTGCGGCTGTTGCCTAGCATGAAGAAATTTGAACGAACGGGCGGACATAACGTACCCATCTCCCTGCATCCAACAAAACCAGAGCGTACAAACTCTGTGGGTGTATGGAAGTGGATTACTTGTTGAGAATTCGTCACCTGAACCATTGCCCTTGTCACAATTATCTCATGTCGCATCGACAATTTGAGACCAGTATTTCTAACAGAAATTCTAGGTAATTTATCACTCATCTCTTTCTGCCCTTCTCAACATGGTCAAACCTATCATGATGAATGTGTTATTCACACTGTTGGACTTGGACCTTGTGTCCGGGAATGAACATTTATACAAAAATCTGATTTAATGAGGTATGTGTCGCTTGTCGATTGAATGAAACGTGTTTCATGCTGACTGACTTAAAAGCCTGACTTTAGTTGCCATGTCTTGATTTGACTTTTGCCTCATGCTTTTGCTTGAATGCCAACGCTGACTCGACATAAGTGAACAAATAGGAATACCCACAGGTGACCATTTGGCTCGTTGACCGTGAGTTTATTCTGCTCCCATTCCCTGTCTCATTGCATGATGAACCCCAATATACTGTTCTATCTCTGAACTATCATGTCGATAAAATATTTTCACCTTGGAGAACTGATCTTTTCCTTGTCTGCCATCATTTCACTCAACTTGTGATATGGTCAATTGCTAATATGCATTACAGGAGTCATGGGTCATTTTATAATAGCTTAATATCAAATAATGAATTTTCTCTTCTGAACATCTGAACACTCCGCCCTTCATAACTCCCGGCTTTCCCTTAAATTCTCGTAGCCACTCGCTAACCCTTTCCTATACACCTGACCCCCACGCTCATTGGATGTCCCTACTCGAAAAACAAACCATGCTTCTTGTGCCATTGCTCAAGACTATCTTCACCGTACACATCGTGCACACTCTTCTTTCCCTCTGGCCACCGCGCCCACGCCGGCTTCGATCCATCCATGATGCACACCATCTCGTCGGGCACCGGCAACTCCGTATCGATTGCGGAGGCAAACGGATGAATCAGTTCAGGCCAGTGGTGGTCCCAAAGCCACAGCATGGAACTGCAATTCGAGCAGAAGTTCCGCTCGGAGGAGCAAAGCTTCTCGTCCGGTGTGCCGCGATCTTTGATTCCAGAGTATTTCCTGGCGATGACGTTAGTAAATATGCGTCTAGTATTATGGGATTATAATTCTAGTGTATAACATGAAAGTTTCTCGATGGGTGTTATGGTCAAAAGTGAAAGTAGGCGGGTGATATAGGTCTTACTTGATCAGATCCCTGCCCTTGATGATATTCAGGCTATCGGCGATGCCGCCGAGGTTCACCGCACCGAGGTATCCGCCTACTTTGCGGCAGATGCTGCACGCGCATAGCTGGTAAGGAACTGGTGTATGGGACTGCAGGGTAAATTCGACGCCGCCGCATTGGCAGCTTCCTTCGAGATTCCTATAGATCCGGTTAATATGCCTGTGTCGGGGATGCAAGGCAGTACTGATGAAGCCTCACGTACATAGGCATGATTTGGTGTTTGTTTGATAAGCTTTGATAAGCTAGTGAGTAGTAAGAGTATATCAAATAGATGTTCGTTAGAAGGTTGGATTTTGTCTAGTGGTACTCGATATATATACTTCCATCGAGGTGAGATAACAGGTTTAACAACAAACCCAACAAACCGAACAAACTGCACAGGCCTCGTATGATCAAAGGTCGTGTCCAACTCTAGACAGCGGATTTTCCATTAATAAACCTATATCCGAATGCCCGAGTCCTATTCCTTAAACGCCGGATTGATCTCTGCATCATCGACCCTTCCTCGATGCAGTGATTGGCTGAACTGCTGTTTGTATTGTTTGTCTTGTTTGTCTCTCGGAGGTTTCATTCACTTTCGCCGACTGATACTCATCTTGCTAGCTACTTTCTCGTCTGTACCAACGCAGAATCCTTTTCTGTTGATATTTTGAGCGGATATACGCTCTGTACTTTCGGAAATGAGTTTCGGAGCCCCCGGCGGTGGGTCGGTGAACTATAAGCCATCACCGTGAGTTGGATTATTCCAATCGTGCATATCTGTGCCTGCAACATATTGTCTAGCGAATGAACGAGATCGGATCTCTTGCTCTGTATAATTGCTGACTCAATGGAACGGTTTGCAGACCCGAGCGCGGTAGCTTTCCTCTTGATCACGAAGGTACGCCAGCCCGCAGTCATACGGTCCATATCCCGAAGGAACTCGGCAAGACCAGCAAATCCGATAGAGCTAATCATAATTTGGGACGCTTTAGGGGAATGCAAGCACATCATCTCAGGATACCTGAAGTGTATCAAGTTGAACAGAGGCACCAACGACGAGGCATGTCGCAAATTGGCCAAGGAATACCTTAGCTGCCGAATGGACAAGTAGGCTACCCCGATATACCGAGGACTGGGCATTGCCATTGGATGAGCAATTGTTTTTGTGATGAATGTCGGAGCAAAATGCTGATTGAGACAACTTGACTAGGAACCTGATGGCGCCGGATAACTTCGAGAACCTCGGGTTGGTGTTTAAAGATAGCGCAGGGAAAGCACAGCCTCCAGTTACACCAGCTACAGGTGCAACAAACCCAGAACAGAAGAGCTGATATAGGACTGCGAGACGTTGGATGATATTGTATGATATGGAGGAGTGGCGCTATTCCGTGATATTCAGGTGGTGCTGGCATTATTCAAGGCGTTGTATATAAGAAAATGTATTTGGTACCTAATCTAACACATGGAATAAGTAAATATGACCTGTGCAGATGAGAAAGCATCGAAATTCACAAAATTATACCAATCTGAACCGCGGTGGCCTGTTGGCTCGCCCTATGCGGTTCCCCGCATGTGAAACCGTTTCCGCCCAGCCACTCTTACAATCTCCAACCCATCCGAGCCCCAAGCCACCAAATGTCATCGATCGCCCGACCACCAGATCCCTGCCTCGTGGCAATCATCCTCATTGTGCGCTCTCGAACCGGGCCCCGCCTCGTCTTCCACTACCCCCCGAATCCCCTCAGCGAGAACCGCATCAAAACCACTACCAGGGGTGGACGGCGCATTTCGCGCAATCGCACGCGATCTAAGAATACCGATTCGAGCTCGAGCTCCGAGAGCGACTCGACCTCCGACGAAGACGAAGACGAACGAGAAACCCAGAGCCATGCTGGTGGGAGTTCCTTGCTGGCGGGTCGCCGCGCTAGCAACTTCGGCCTCGATGATCATCTCCAGGTTGCCACATCGCCTGCTGCCGGTGAACCCCAGCGACCTGGGTCGCTAGGCTCTGGGCGTGGTTCATCGGCTCGGAAACGGGCTGCGGGCACCGATCCGGACCCCGACGACGATGCGGGGACGGCGTCTGATCGGCCTGAAGATGGGAGCTCTAGGCCGCCTTGGGAGTCGCTTTTGGGTGTGCCTGGGAGTGTGTGGGAGAAACTGCTTAGTCCGTCTCGGTCGTGGCATAAGCGGCGCTTTGAGGTTGGGATTAATGATTTGGCGCTTATTGGTTGGCCGGTTTTTGTGCGCGAGGATGGCTCATGGCGCAAGCAAAGACGCAAGAAGCAGAAGAAGCCCCGTGCTGAATGGGACGGAGGGGAATTGGGTCACAATGATAGTGCCGAGGAGGGCAAGAAGGACGAGCAATTTGTTATTTCGCCTGATTTGAGTGCCAGTGTCGCTTCGATTGCGGAGTCATTGGCATCACCGACAGGCAGTAAGCGTGGGTCGACCAGTGGACGGCCTGGGAAACCGGACGAGTCGCTTGATCCGGAGGACAAAGACCATATGACGATGTTCAATGTGGTGTTTGTTGTAGATCCTCCTTTGCTGGAGTACTCCATGCGCGTGAAGGAAATCTACGAGAATATCATCAAGAAATTTGCCAAAGCTCTCAAATGGGAACAGGCTCGCACTGACTATGTGTGGAAGGAGTCTCAGCATATTCTGCAAGTCAGGAGAAGAGCACGAGAGACAAGTATGCTTTCTGCTAATAGCCATCCGCCGGAGCTAACACCCTGGATAGAAACATCGACCCATAATCTTTACTCCGAATTGATATCCCAGTCTTCTCTAGCTCGAGCTATCTACACAGTCTACAGCAGCATATCGGCATCCAAAATCGCTTCCGTATCGCTCAGCCCGGATGTCTCCATCTCGCTCCAGATTCCACCTTTGACCTCTACGTCATATCTTACTGGTCCTATGGACAAAGCATACCCAGGCTTGTGGCTCACGACAGCAGACAGTGCAACCCCCGCCGACGACCCAAGTGTAGATGAAAGCAGCACGCCGCATCAGGTCCCAGCAAAGCACTTTGCTCTACTTCTCTTAGACAGTGAAGCCGCCATTATCAAGGATGTCGAAGCATCTGGGGGAGCGCTTGCCCCCGCACTTGCGCATTATATCCGATGCTCCAAGCCAACCAAGTCATTTGCGCAGATATCAGTCTCATCCGGAATCCCACTATCCCATATCCAGATGCTGTCGAGTCATCTTGTGTACTGGCGTCGTGCTCGCGCCATCCCTCCAATCCACCAACGAGACACATACATCGTCTCTCCAAACTGTGACTTGAGCAAGCTTGAAATAGCTACGATTGCTTATCAGACAGCATTCCCAACATACCCTAGTTTGCCCAAAATGCTTTCCACCCTCAGTGGTACCCCTCGCCCTTATAGCAACTTCATCCCCAGCAAAGACCACAAAGAGATATACTTCACTATCCTGGCCTGGCTACTGCGCGGCGGCTGGGTCACCCAGCTCCGCACTTTCGCGCGAATCAAGGTCTCACCCGAGGTCAAAATGGCCGTGGAGATGGCGCTGCGCAAGGAGGAAGTAGAGCGATACCTGTCTAGGGGCAACTCAAACTCGATCTCGGTCGATGAGGACAGCGACCCTGACAGTGAAAATGACGATGCGGACTCTTCCTCGTCTTCTTCCCTCGACAGCCACGGCAGCGGAGATGAAACGCCCATGCCTAGTCGACTCGACTCACACGCGCAACTGCGCTTTTCTCACAAACTCCTCGATCAATCAACAGCTCTCCGGCTGTCCTCTTTAATTCCCTCCCCGCACCGCGCATCCCCACTCGAGTCCCGCTGGCTTGACGAAATCTTCTCCCGATTCCCCGACACTCCCAGAACCATGCAGGGAGATGGAAACGCCAGTCCGGATGGGACGTCTAATGATACCCAGGCCCTGCACAAGAAGTACTGGCCTGTTTTCCTCAAGTATTTCAATGGCTACGATGCCATGGAGAAGATCAGCGTGCGCGAGAATCTCAAGCGCAAGCTCGTCTGGCAGGTCCTTATGCGCCTGGGCTTGGTGACGGGTCCATTGGGCGCTATGGATCTCGATCCGCGTGAACAGGTGTTGGTTAGTTTTCGGCACTGGTAGGTGGTGCTGGTATGATGTTGATGTAGAGTATGAATATGGAACATGATAACTATCCCTCTTTTACATGGACGTAGGTTTCCAGGTGTCGGTTTATATCTTCCGGTGAATCCCACTACGTAGTATAGATCACAGACACCTGAGGTATGTTATTTTCAGTGTAATACAGCCCGCGTATTCTGATTACATACCCACTCTGCCATTCCGATGGTTTCCGCGTGCCCTCAGCCCTAATCATTGCCGAAAGCACAATGTTTGATCATGGATTTAGTAGGTGAAAGGGAATTGAAATGGTTCGTATTTGAGTTATTTAGTTTAATTGGGTTGATAGTTCTAGTATTCATACTAAGATATAAAAGAGTGACAGTGTTAGGACAAAAATAGTAGCAGTTCATTCACATGTAAGGTTGGAAGCATACAATTATATCACATTCTTTTCGCACAATGATCAGCACGGCAGTAGGTAATTTTTTTTCCCGCAAGGTATGTAATATAATATGCAATATTTCTCCAAATGTATTGATATGTATTACGTTTACCCTGAGGATTTCATCACCGGCCCGCATATCCGAATAAGCAACGGTCCAACGGGCTGAAGATTATAGGATAGAAAAATTATTGGGTTGTAGTCGGGCATATGTATACTAAAGTTGGTGATAATATCTGTCAGTAGTATATTATTGGTGCTAGGATATTTTGTAACTATAAGAAAGTAGTCATTCAAAGAAAAACTCGACTCTTCCCATGTTAGATATTTCCATTGTGCGCCAATGGCCGGAGGAGCTCCGGTGGTCCCCGCGAGGTTTAGATGTACTTTGTATGTATGTATGTTTTGCCTTAGATTGATGAGCCGAAAGTTGATATAGGTATTCTGTGGTATTCTGTGGGATATCTAATGTTAGTGCCTGAAGAGAAGCTTTATATATAGAGTAGAAGGTCTTTGATGGAAGGTTTATAGCCAGAATGCCATAGTGCTATCCAATTGGCTGGACATTTGTTGCTTAAGACCTCAGAACCCTGAAGCATCGCCACTTAGACAGCTATTTTAATCATGGGTCTCCTGGGCTGGGGCTGTTATTGGGTAATGCCATGTGAAGAAGCATGCGGCTCAATTTTATGACTTTGAACTGGTTCTTTGTTGGTTTCATAGACTGTATAAAAAGTACATTGCCGATATTGCTGACCTCGGCAAGGCAAATACACAACTAGAAGGGGACATAGCATGTATAAGACAGGGTATTCTAGGGGTTCATTCTGCAATGCGTAAGAAGTATATAGGTACTATAGGAATATACCTCTAGTACAGAATCGGCTCCGAGATGCCCGACTCCTCTGTACATAGGACTATACACAGGGCAGTGAGATGAATGAGAAGGAATATAGAGATTCAAAGAAATGAGCCTTGAACAATTAAGAAGGTAAATCCAATGCAAAGGAAGTAAAACCCTTTTATGCGAAATTCCACATTCAAAAAAACAAAATGTGCCCTTCAAATATTAATTACGTGTAAAGAAAAAACCCCGCTACCAGTTCTGCCCTGAACCAAATAATTTTATCTTCTCTCTCTTCTCTCCTACAACTTCTCCCCCTCCGCATCGGGCTGTTTTCTCCCTTCCTCTTCCGCGACTTCCTTTCAGATTTCCCTTCGGTACCTCTCCGTCTCAGAGAGAACCGAGATACTTCATCTGTTCCGAACCTTCCCACGTGCGAATCGCCAGTCATTTTTCAAGGGATCGACACTCAGCAATTGATCTTGTGCTTCGCATCAACGTTATCGAATCCTGACAGGAATTACACAGCGTTCCTGTGAATCCGACTTGCACCACTCAGCGACTGAGCTTTTACGACCCTTTTCAGCCTGGAGACGTTGACAAGGCAGCGCCTTAATAGCGTCCTCGGTGGGAAAATTTTCCTTAACTACACTTTCCTCTTCATCTTCTGACAACTTGTGTGCTCACAAGTCACGGTTGTTGAAATCAGCACTCCACAACGAGAAATCGTCGACCCACTTATCAATGCGATTTGTGGTCTAGACGATCCTCACAGATCCAACTCCTTCGATTGCCCTTTCGCGACCCGATACTTCCGTGGTCCTTCGTCGAGCTCGCTTACGCACGAATCGTCCTTTCGACACACAATTGAGAGTCTCTCTGAAAAGACAGGAAGCTGCAGATTAGTGGGGTTACAAGAAGCTGGAATCTTTCCCTTTCTTGGTTTCCACTTTGCGCAAGTGCCATCTCGCCCCCAGTAGGCGTAGACTGAGATCCAGAGTTACCCAAGGTCGTCCGGTAAAATAAACCGCACCTCAAAAATTTTTCTTCCCACACACTCGATCAGAGCTATCATAAGCTCTCAATACGACATGTCTACGTTTTCGTACGCACAAGCCGCCAAGGGCGTCTCCGGGACACCGGCCCCGTCTAAGACACCATCAGAATCCGAGAAGACTGACTCCAAACCGGAGGAGCACACCACCGTCGAGACTACAACGGATGAAGCACCGGCCCCCACTGAGTCCGAGCCCGTTCAACAACCCGAGGTAGTCTCAGAGGAGAACAAGGATGATGATTTCACCACTGTCACGAACAAGCATGCCGCCAAGACAAAGGCTATCAACTCTCGAACATCAAGCCCGAGCGTTCGCACAGGCTCAAAGGCGCGCAAGTCAAAGGAGGATGATTCCCATACCCCTAATGGCAACGCAGATGCCACCGCTGAGAAGCAGGCTCCCAGTGAGGGACAGACCGAGAAGGCCGAAGGTGCCGCAGAGAAGTCCGCTGAAAAATCCGAGGATTCCGAGAAGATCGCATCACCACCCAAGGAGCTGAAGGCTGCTCCTCTCCCATCAGTCAACATTTGGCAACAGAGACGAGAGGCCCAGGATGCCAAGGTCAAGGCTGTCCCCAAGTCCACCTCCACTAGCAAGGCCGCCTCCACGAAGGCCGCCTCGACTGCGGATGAGACCCAGCAAGACTCCAAGACCGGCTCTAAGAAGAAGGGTGCCGATGGTGCACAGGAAGGCGCCAAGGATCGTAAGAAGACCGATGGTGGAAAAGGACGCGATGCCGGATCAGTTCCCCCAGTAGAAGACGCTACTGCATGGCCCACTCCCCAAGTTGCGATTGGCGAAGAGAAGAAGAAGTCTCACGAAAAGACCGAAAAGAGCCCTGTGATTAGACCTCATGGAAAGGAAAAGTGGACACCAGTTCCTTACGTTCCTACTGCTGTTTTCAACACCCCGCTCCCATCTGCTGGTGGTCGTGGAGGTAGACGGGCTACTCGTGGTGGCCGGGACAGCGGCCGTGGAGCTCACGGCAATGGAGCCGCTACCACCGATAAGGCTGCCTCTGGACAGGCTGCCCAAGGCGCAAAGCAGGCACCTGGAGACCGAGGACGCCTTGAGTCTGGAACTGGACGTGCCGCTTCTCTTCCCGCGCAGTCGCGACGGTCCACAAGCACTGATGCCGGTGCCACAGCCGATGCACGCAAGGCTTCCCAGGCACCTGAGCGCGGCCGTGGTGCTCGCAACGGAGAGGAGAACAGCAAGCAGGTGAATGGTGGCGAGAACGCCCCCCGCCCTCAACGCGAGGGCAAGCCCATTGGAAGAAGCCAGGATGCCCGTGCAGGAGACCGCAACCAGAAGGGTGCCAACCTGGCTGTTGACTTGCAGGCTGCAGCCCGTGGCAATGACCGTCGCTTCGAGGCTGGATCCAAGTCTGCCGACCCCACCGGTCTCACTGACTTCAGCCGTGAACGTGGAGAGTTCCGATCTGAGCGTGGAGGTCGTGGATCTAACCGCGGCCGTGGTGGTGCTTACGCCAACTTCGGCGGCCAGAACGCCCAGTTCAATGCGTCTATGTCTAACAACCCATTCCCTGCGCCTAAGTCGTTCGGCTTCAACGAGCGTCAGCGGTCACACCAGCACGGCCTCCCCAATGGATCTCAACAAGGAAACCGTATGCCCCTCCGATCGCCCTCTGTGCCCACTCCCGCAAACATGTACGGTGTTGTTTATCCTTTCCCAGGTGATATCAACACGATGTATGGCTACCCAGCTGCCCCGATGAGCGCTGTTCCCTACCAGCAATATGTGGAGCCTTTCTCGCTCATGAATATGCTCTCCATGCAATTGGAGTACTACTTCTCGGTTGACAACATGTGCAAGGACATGTTCCTTCGGAAGCAGATGGATTCCCAGGGCTTTGTGCCTCTGAACGTCCTTGCCAGCTTTAAGCGTGTCAAGTCCCTCACTGAGGACTTTGAGCTCATTCGTCACGTGTCCCGTCAGCTCCGCAACGTTGAGTGCCAGACTGGCGAGGATGGTGTCGACCGCCTGCGCCCCAGAGACAAGTGGCAGCAGTGGGTCCTCCCCGTGGATCAGCGTGAGCCTGCCGCCCAGAATGAGGGTGCCGCCCCTGCTAGAAAGACCGACGAGAACACCCCGGTTCACGGCCACTCCGAGAACGTTATCAACGGATCCGCTCGTCAGTTCATTCCCAACGGTGTCGCCCATGATGTCAAGACTTCACTTTCGTCTACCGCTCCGGAATTCATGCCCTCACTGCTACCCACTGCAGTGAACGAAATTGCCAATGTAGGATACCCCTGGAACTTCCCAGTCTCCCCTGATGATTCGAAAACGTCGTTCTTTTCGTCTTCTTCGTCTTTCCCTAATTTAATTATTGACTCTTCTTTCTCAGCGCGTGGACTAGATTCGCAGTCTGAACCCCCTTTCCCCTCTGATTTGGAATCGATGGTGTCCCCGACAAGGTATGCTGAATTTTTTGCATGTGAAATATATTATGTGCGGTACTGACTCACTGTACGAACAGCTCTGATGCAGATTGCTTTCAATACCAAGTCGGCGGTACTGATTGGTTGATCAGCAAGTCTTTTGCCGAAGCGCATCAACCGGCGCCTAAGTCAAATGGGAAGGGCCGTTCGTCCACACAAACGTCAAATTATGTCCCAAAAACTTTCAATATGTCTCGCAAAGAAACCTT